ATTTTTATTTCAAAAATATTCACTTGATCCCTAGACACTTTTGATGTGTGTATTTATTTACATCTCGTAGATCCTCACCTGATCCCTTTTTCACTCTTTCTCCGTGTTCCTACTTCTTAATCCCGTTTTCAAATTTTTGTATTATTAAAAAGGCATACCCATTGAGATTATTTTTGGAAATCGCGTAAAGGTGACTTTGTCTACTCTGTACTCTGGACCATAAACAAATACATAAATATAGAAAATGAAATCAAGCATAATCAATATGCTATTGACACTAATCTGAAGTTTGTCTTTCCATCTTTTAACAGAAATCACATATTTTGGTGATGACTATGACCTTTTGTGTGCAACACTATGGGTCGTATACTAGAAATGTACTCAATGCTCAAGTCAGGATTTGAGTATGGTTTAAAGCACTTGAAATCATACTCAAGTCCCCGCCATTAGGGTCGTATTTCCAGTGCTTGTGTTGCCAGTGCAATATTGACTTGAGCATTGAATAGAGTTCTAGAATAAGGCCCTATGTTTTGGAAAAGTTGATATTATTAAATCGCTATGACTTATGTTTGGAGTAGCAATGGTAATTATTACGCATGTGGATGGACACATTTGGTTTTTTTTCATAAACATGTACATTGGCTTTAGAAATTTAAATACAGTGGAGTGAGGACCTATAAAGTACTGTTACATACAAAACAAAACAAATATGATTTAATGTTAATTTAAATACTTCTTTTTTTTTATACATTAAAGGTTGTACTTCACTTGTTAATGGAACATGAGAAAGCAACAAATCTTGAAATGGAGGCTTCCCACTGTGACACATAAGGCACAGTGTGACGAAGTTCGACTTTATTTCAGAGGGTACGGTGCCAGCGACTACCAACCACAACCCATGTTTTCTCCGCCCAACCCACAACAATCCAGACATATCTCGTTGTCTCATGGTCCATATGATCTAATCTCTAAGCCTCTGAAGTCTCAATACTGGCGATTCCTAAGTCTAATTCAGCAATGTCCATTTTATCTACAGAAGTACAAAGAGAGAAAAACATTGAACCTGAGACAACAGAGAACAAGAATCTGGCCACAAAAGAAGATTTATTGGAGTCTCTATACTGGAACATTCATGGCGGAACCTTTTTTCATTTAATACAATGTTTGTGATTCATGTATAAAATAAGTGCAAGATGTGTGTGTATAATTTATAAGTACTAGATTTTAAGAAGTTGGGACTTTTAAGAACCTACTGGACTATTGTGCACTGATGTGTGACTAAAACTTTTCACATAGGATTAAGACCTTTTTTAATAAAATTGAGATAGGAAAGGGAGGTTTTTTATTTATATAAAACAAAAATGTTATTCATAATAATTTTATTAATTATCATAACATAGTTCAAATAAATATTACATACAGTAAATGATAATAATGACAAAATAATGAATAGAGTTTAAAATCAAATTAAAAACTACGTGAGGAAAGACCCATCATGCATTGTTATCAAGCTCCTCAAGTCAATCTGAAAAAGAGGAAACAAATTAATTTCTATTCGCTTTGTTTTTCTGTTACAGATGGAGATATAATAATGAAGATCTAATAATGCTTTTGTTTCTTACAGGATTCACTCAACCAATGATCAAACTGAAATAGTTTGGAGTTTGAGTGTTTGATCTAGATTTACATAATATTAATATCACCTTTCTGTTTTTCAGATGACTCTTCCATGTGCAGCCTAGTAGGCACACGATCAAGCCCGAGCCACTCCACCTCAGCCTTAAATGTAAACATACCACAAAATTATAATTTGTATGTGACATTCAAGTTTATTTTTAATGTAAACTTATAACCGATAGTTTATTACGACAACTATCTGTGATAATTTTGTACCTGCAATTTTTTAGTGTAAATTAAACTTTTATAATTTGCAATATGTCATTTTTCATTTATACTGCCTCAAATATCATATCAAATGTTAGTAGGAAAAATAGTAAAATATGCTGTATATTTACTAAAATGCTCAATGATAATATCAGGTGGAACATAAAACAGCGCAAGAGAAAATGCATTAATAATGGATAATACTGTATTTTATTAGATAGGTATCCACCTTAAATTACGTAAGTACAAAAATTGAGTATACATTTAGGACAATGCAGAGTAAAGATATATAAAATAACAAAAGTAGCTAATTTGTATGTAGAATTACAAAATAAAACAGTATACCCACATAATGGTTGACATTTATTGTATAATATTGTGTCAAACGTTAAAAATATCATTAGTAACCAATAACGTGTCAACCAACATGATAACAGTTTTGCGAAAAAGACACCAAACATTTTTTCCTTCTTTTTGATACTTTGTTCTAAAATGAATGTAAAATGACAACATTTGCTGTTTGTCACCTCAGGAATGATGAATTGCGATTTATTACTATAATTCCCCAGCAGCAACAAGCAAAACAGCAAAAATTTCATTTCTTAAGTAAATTTTAGGACATTTACATAAAGGACGAAAAATCTATAAGTGCTACTTTCACTAAACTATTATCATGTTTGTTAACACGTTATTGTTTCTCAGCATCCAGATTATCTGAAACACTTGATAAGTTTTTGATTACGTGGTTCTGATCGCGTGATTTTTTTTTAATTCTACAGACAAATGAGAGTATTTGACTGATCATTAGGAAAAATATGGCAGTTAATGGTAACCCTGCTGAGGTCAAGATTGACCAAGACAACTGGTTGAAGCTTTAAAACTACTTATTTAAATTTTTATTGAATTGATTGACTACTTATTTATACAAGATCTAGTATTTAAATGGTTAGACATTGATACATGTTCCTGTTATGCGCATTTACTAACCCTAATTTTACAAGTGTTTTATCCTTGTAAGTTACATGCAACTGGATGTGCTCTTATCAATCAACAGAGCGAAAAGTAGACTAACAGTTATTGAACAGTCAAATTAATTGAAGTTAAAAAATGTGGACAAAATTGAAAATAAAAAGCAATTTTATACAAAGTCAAATCAAATGAGTACAAAAAATTACTCATTTCGGTTAGCACAATTGATTAGTGGAAGACATCTACAGTACAGTACATGTTGTATTACCTCAGTTGGAGTAACTTCATCGGTGTCTACCACATCCGGCAGAGCTTCCGCATTAGCTCCCATTTCTTCATGGTTCTCTGCATTGTCTCCCTCGTCGTCATGGGTTTGGTCAGCCTCGGCCAAGTCGCCATTATGCATTTCAGAACAATTTATGAGATCCATTTTACCCTCTTGACTGGAAAGTGGACTGGTATCATCATTACCTTCAATGTCCATATGCATGTGCCCCGACCACATATCGTAAGGGCATGCGTTCATCTGATGTAACTGCGTATCACTCGAGCTGAATAAATTCAATGACCCAGCAACATCTTGAAAAATGGACGATTCTGATAATTCACTTGTAAGCTGAGACGATTCTTGGCCTTCATTATTTCCAGAAATAAAGACTGGCAAGTTCTCAATAATATCACTGGATACGTCACACACTCTCATTCCTTCATATTTTGATAGTAACTCTAGTACTTTCTTCTTTGATTGCTGCGATTGCCTGAGGTCACTTGTAGCGTTAAGTATAAGCGACGCTAAGCTGTCCATGAGCTCTGGAGTGAACATTTCTTCACTTTTTAGCAGCAAAAATCGCACAATTTTGTTATCAATTTGCATTGTGCTAGAAAGAGAATTAAAATCTTGATAATTGTTAGCGTCATTAGAAGTAGTTGATACACCTTCCGGTCTATTCTCTTCATGGAGATTTTCGTTGCGTTGACCATCAATAAAGGAAGCATACTGCGTTAATACAGTTCTAATAGATTGCAATACTCTTTGCCGCAAAGGGTCAGAACTTATAAGTTGCAATTCCCTAAAAAGTTGTATCAAGAAATCGGGATGTGATTCATTCACGTCAATGAGTGCAGTCACTTCTGAGTACACGTTTTCTCTCAGAAGATCGAATAGTTTTGAAGTAGCTTTGTCATGCACTTTTCGGCTAGTTGACGCAAGATTTGGATTAGGTGCCTCAGAAGTGCTCGCAATATTGATGTTGCTAGTCTGTGAATAGTCAAGACCGGTATAATTTCTTCTATTTGTAGAATTTTTTGCGGGAAGTTTCGATGAAGATTTCTTCTTACTATTAGCTGTCGTATTTAGATTGTTAGAATGTGATTGAATTATTTCTGGAATAGGGTTTGTAATATTGAGATTCCTGAAGGCATTAGTTGCCCCTTCCTGTCGGTTGATGTTCACATTGTTTGTTGTGTTGTTGCTGTCGTCGATATTCCGTGAGAGAGAAGTGGGTGCATCTTCACTGTTTTGATTGACATTCAGGACATCGGGGGCAGATGAGAATGATAGCGATCTCTCATAAGATATGTTTCTTCGACCTTGACGATTGGGTATCTCTTCATTGTGCGTTTGGGATTGCTGAGCAGTCGCATTCTGTGTCGAACTCGAGGCGTTCGTATTTCTCTTGGGAGTGATGGATGGAGATGTAGACGTGGACGTATGATGTAAAGTGTTATGAGATCTTTCCACGAGAGGGTGTGGATTGTGAGCTGGGCCAACGGCCAAGTGGCCATCAGCATTTGTCTTGTTGTTAGTTGAAAGAAGATTTTGGCGTGAATAACTGAAATCAATAGAAAATTTTATATGAACATATTGTTAGGTTAGGTAAAAGTAAGGCAAACAGTAGTACCTACCAAATCATGGTTAGTTTCGAAATATTTATATTGGTACAATTGCAGTTACAAAGCAATAAATATATTATAAAATTATTGTGAATTGTAAGTATGGAGAAAAAAAACTAATTATTCACATAGCAAAAATACTTTGGGCCACACTAACAGAAAAAACTGTCTCACCCGTTGAAATAACCCGTTGTAGAAGTAATTTTATAGATATGTAAGAAATAATTATAAATAAATAAAAATACTACGCAATAAAAAAGACGACTGAAAAATATTTCTTGACTAATATCTGAAAAGAAAATACATATTTCGGTAATTCGATATATACATAACAAATACATAAAATAAACAAATCATGCCATTGTAATGCAAAATAGATAAAATTATATGAACTCAATGACACGAACCTTCGAAAGTTATCCCAATAGTTGTTAGCCCTATTGCCTGGAGGCACTTGATTATTCAGCGTATGGGACGCATTTTCCGCACGCCAGCGCTCCTCCAACTGAAATTTTTATTTTAAAATTAACGTTTTGCAATTTTTTATTTCATTTTATTTTAACTGGCAAGTTGAAACGTAAATTACAGCTTTATTTTGTATTTTTTTTTCCCAGTGCCACATGGGTTGTAAGTCCTAATTCATAGAGTGTATAACCAGAAATAGAGACGAAATAAGGGCCATACATTCCTGGTAACTCATCAGTGATACATCACTTATAAATATCAACTCTCGTTTGCATTGAACTAACAAATTAGAAATCTGAAATAGTACAGCGCCAACAACTGACCTGTGTGTACGTCTCCGTATATTCAAAAAATATTCTGTATCTATCGCAATAAAGATAATATCTCCAACAATATCGTGCTGTTCCATTTGGTGGTGTAGGGAAAACATCTCATTACAAAACAAACGGATCAAATTTCAACGGTAAATAAATGTTAAATATGTAATTTGGCAATTTTGTCCATTATAGCAAGGCTCAAGTTAACTGGTCGATTTGAAAAGTTGTCACAGTAATGATATGGCAGAATAGTTTTCAAACAAATTAAACGACATTTCGTCTCTATTTCTGGTTATATACTCGATGTCCTAATTAAACGATTTGCTTTAATAAAGTGAACTGTGCTCAACCTTAAGGTTACCAATTGTGCAACAACTAAAATTTTCTATACAACTATTTACATAGTCGCTAGCGGTAATCGACACTTAGAGGTGTATGTATAATATGTTGTCCAGTTTATAGGAAATATATGTTTTTTTTTAAATAAGTTCTATTTTGACCTCCATCTCGTCTGATAGAAAGTGACGATGAGGTCGAAGATAGACCATGCGCACTTAAATAATGCCTATCCATTCCACCCTACTCATCAACCCACAGACATTATATCTAAATAGATACCGCAAATCTGTATGAAAACCAAGCGTGTCACATTCCGTCCGTTGCGTAGTAGTGCGACATTTTTCGCGTTTTCAAGTGATGTTTAATTATGATGTCTACGATAACGACAGGGCGCGTTCTGAAGCGTTAATTTCGCCTCGCTGAGCGAGAAGACGCGCGCGGTAGCTGGAATGGTCTAGCATTCGCGGGAATGCTACTGAGCCTGCGCCTTGAGGCTGTTGTATTTCGCCGGCGTCGCCGACGGCAGCTACGGTATTATCGCGTCGTGATTTTTGGCTCGTATCTAGTTTGTACTTTACACAATTGACCATAAGTTCATTACGCTATGTACAATATCTTTACAAAAATTGGGCATGCGAAGTAAGTACACTTGCGGCGTCTATTTAGATATATGTCTGCTCCAACCTATCTGCAATTGCGCTGTCACTTGCATACCCAAAGATACCGGGATTATGAAGATAGTTTATAAGCCCTATAAAGGGTTTGACTAGTCAAGTTTCAAATACTCGATTGTAGTCTCCCTGGAATAAGAGTAACTCTTCCTATACATCTCGTCACGAATATGATCACCAGCTGGTGTAATAATTGTACTTTTTTATTTTAATGGCATATTACCGCGCGAACGGTACTGACTGACTTTAGAGCCTTAGTTGCAAGCGACAATTTAAGCATTACAAGAGTGCAATATCATTGTCACCCGTGTAATACGTTTTGTAACATCTTGTGAAATAACACCACGTTGTTCTGTGATTACCACTGTAGATATTTTTCATAAGGCGATAAATTGTGGCGGAAACCTTTTGGACCCTCTGGAATTCAATAAAGGCATCAGGCGAGGCTAGTTCCATAATACCCACAAAATTACTTTATAATTAAACGACTCACATGATTAAGTTGTTCTCTGAGCTGGTGTATTTCCCTCTGCTGCATGACAATTTGTTGCCAGCACCAGGCACCCCAGAAGCTGCAACCGCAACCGCATCCTCCAACCATACCTAAAGCAAACATTTATAATTTTGACATATTTCTATACTAGACAGGCATAAGATCGCGGTAAATGGCACAAGTTACCATAGGCATAGGCCTATAGACCCAGCAGTGGGTGAAGTAGGGCTGGGGATGTTTGTGATGATTCTTGAATAATGGTAAATTTTGGCGCCCAAGAAGGAACTTATTTAATTTACTCAAAAAGAATAAACTCAAATTATTTACTGACAGATGACATTGCCATCTCAGTCAGCCATGACCATGGGACCTGTAAAGGTCCCGAAACGTTGGCTTGTTTGAAAAAAATAATTATACACGATTTGTATTCGAGAAAATAATTTCATTTCCAAAGTCGTATTACATAAACAAACAAATGTTTAATTTGCAAAATATACATACATAAATATATTAATAATAATCATTTTTTCATAGAATCGCATCAGGCTAAATTTTGGCAAGCAAAAAGAGATTTTCTTAAATTTTTATTCACGAATATAATTTATTCATATAAATGTTTACAAATTCTTACCATAAGGCATCATCATATTGAAAGGCACAGAGGGTGGAAACGACATTTGTGGAGTTCCAAGCAATCGGTCCATTGTTTGTGAATGGCTATTCTGAGTGAACTGGTTGCGCATATCCTGTAATAACAGATTCGTTTCAAATAATGCATAATTTCAACGCAACTAATCTGACAAATAAAAAATAAGAACCTGATTCGCCTTGTTGCTATTCCAGCAAGGTTGTTGCAAATGAGGATAAGGCATATTAGCTGGATTGTCACCTAAAAACAAAATAATAAACTGAGACAAAATTAAGAATAGGTACATACATAATTATGGATATTGAACTTAACAAACCTGAAGAACTGGGCGGTACCATATTGACATTTGAGGCTTCCGGTCGTGCCTCGTGACGTAGATTTTGACTGGTGTTGTTAACCTGTGGTGCCTGCAGCATATAATAATTATAATTTTTTTATAAAAAAAGAAACCGGCGTCAAAATTTTGTGGCATGACTACGACCTGTTGATGATACCATTTTTAGTGACAGTTTAATGTATGTTACTATCTTGCGGTTTTATTGTTATATACATGATGTTCAAACTTGACCAGAAATTGATTAAAGGAAGTGGTTGAAATCCAATAAACCGGATTCATCACCTAATTTGTCGCCCTTAGAGGTGGAATATTTTCTTCAAATTTGTATGAGATCACTAGTACTCCCTTTCCAACAAAAAAAGAATTATCAAAATCAGTTCACAAATGTCCGAGTAATCGCATAACATACAATAAAATACAGTACAAAATACTTTCTTTTTTGATAAGGATGAGATTAGGTCGATTTATTTTTAGTGTATTTGATTTTTGAAACGCAGGTTCTCTTATACAGCCAGCCAACTTTGATGAAATGTTACGGAGGTCATTATTGGTCAGGTGTTGCGGTCATTCATCTCTCAATCTATTCAGATTTCCCGCTTTCGTACAATGTTGTCATAATTGAAAAAAATACCCCTAGGAACCTAAAGACCAAAACGGAACTTATTTTCTGGATGACCCTCGTAATTTATAAATTTAAAAAAGTAATAACACTAACATGATTAAAATTTCCACTTTTAGAATGAATATAATACAATAATAATAAGAATATAATACAATGATTGAATTGATTAAATAATCAAAATCTTTTTGTCGATATATCTCATCTCTAGTAATTGCAATGATGCAACCTTTGCTCATTGCGTTCTCGTATTTACCGCATTTAAAAAAAAATATTTCTAACAAATAAAAATCAATTTGGTGTTATTTTTACTTTATTTAACATTAAGTGGTTTTGGAGGTCCTTAAGAACAGCTAGAGGCAAAATCACAATCTCGCAACTGCAAATAATCAGAGGCCACGACAGAAGTATAATGAAAGGAGAAGAATGCGTATTAAAAAATGTAAGGAGTATTTTAAAAGTTTGTTTGAGAAGGAATATGTACAAATGCCGGCTTAGACCACCATAGAGACGAGCTGAAGTCAAGATGAAAGTATAAGCATGGAAGATATTATGAAAGCATTGAATATTTTGAAATCTAGTAAAGCTGCGGGATATGACAGAATTGCTGTTGAAATGCCGAGGGCTGGACAGGGTGTGGTCGCTAGTCAGCTGTACCGCCTTTCCAACCTTTTGGTCAAGCGACCGAGTGCCAGGAGACTGGGGCAAGGCTGTCATCATACCATTATGTGAGGGAAAAGGGTCGCCGCAAGACTGCAAAAATTACCGCGGAATCAGTCTTCTCAGCATTATCGGCAAATTATATTATTATGCAATGGTATTGACTGAGAGAGTGATGAAAGAAACGGAAGAAAAAATTTGGGACGTGTAAGCGGGATTTAGAAGAGGAATGGGATGCATGGATCAGGTCTTCTCCTTGCGAAACATAGTCGAAAAGTTCTTGGCTAAAAGACAAAAAGTCTATTTCGCTTTTATAGACTTGGAGAAGGCCTAAGACAGAGTGTCAAGGAATGAATTATGGTCGACATTGTCTTTGTATGGGGTGGACGGCAGTCGAGTTCAGGTACTGAAATAGTATATGAGAATTCCAGTGCCTGTGCGCTGTTTCAGAATAAATGGTGCTTACACTGACTGGTTCGATATCGGGAAAGGTGTTAAACGGGGATGTGTAGCGTCGCCATGGCTGTTCAACCTATTCAGCCAGAAATTGTCTAAAAAGGCACGACTGGCTGTGCATGGCGGAGTGCTGATTCCTACACTTATGTATGGTAGTGAATGTTACGTTTGGCAGAATAAGCACGAAAGTAGAATTAATGCAGTGGAAATGAGAGCTTTGAAAAGTATGGCTGGAGTGACTCGAATGGATAAATTACGGAACAGTGTGATAAGAGAGCGTTGCGGCGTGGAAGAAGATATAGTGACAAAGATAGAGAAAGGGATGCTAAGATGGTTCGGACATGTAAAGAGAATGAATGAAAGAAAATTGACGAAACCGATTTAAAAGGCGAGTGTGAACGGGCAAGTTGGTATGGGCCGACCAAGGTGAACTTACCATGACCAAATTGAGGCCATCCTAAAGAAGGGCCAGGTCAAGAGTACCCTTAACCGACGAGCGTGTATGAAAGCATTGATGCGTGTTGATGAGGCGAAAGGTGTGTGTCAGGACCGTAGCAAGTGGAAGACTGTTTGTTGTACTTGCCTACCCCGAAGGGGAAAAGGCGTGAAGTATATGTAATAATATGTATGTATGTATGTTTACTTTAATTTAATGTAAATTTAATTAAACAAAAGGTATTTAATTAAACTTTAAAGCAAGGGTTATAAAAATAGTTTATAAAATACGTAAATTATTGTACGTCATTACAAGGTTATATTTTATAGATTTTTATGAACTGTCACCAGGATCATTCTAGACAAATTTTAATATAGTGAGTATTTATTTGTTATGAAATGATTGATTTGTCAAAATTAATACCGATATATTATTATTATTAAAAAGTTATAAGTTAGAAAATGAAACTATTTTTCCGGATTTAAATCGCGCAGTTTTGTTTTTTCAAACAAACCAACTTTGCGGACCCTTTACAGGTCTCGTGGTCACAGTTAACTATGATGATATAAGTTACCTTTAGTAGGTCACTAATCGAAACCACGAAGTCGATTTTTTAAGACAACACTATTTTTACATACATATCGACGCTTGAAAGGCAAAATGAGAGAAGCGACACTTTAGGTCATATTGAGTTATATATACCGTTGAAATCAGAAACATTAGCCGATTCCAACGGTATGCATAACTCAATATGACCAAAAGTGTCGCTTATCCCATTTTGCCTTTCAAGCATCAATATCATCACGCCCATCTCCCACCGGGGTAGGTAGGCACTATTTTTATTCCACCAAAAACTAGCAACCTTTTATCTCTAATATAAAATTCTACTAGAGAACACGGTATCATAATATCTTCAAAGTGATAAGACTTCAAAAACTTACGTTGTTGTCATCGACTTGCCTATCCTGTGGTTGCCTCCGTCGTGCCCTGTTTCTCTGATTGGACTGTTTTCGAGAAGCACTGTAACAAAGATATATATTCGATTATACTTGCTTATTTAAAATAACTTATAATACATCTTTTTACTTTACATACCTGTCACTATCGCTTCCATAAGTACTACCAAGATGTGACGGCACAGTATTGAGAGATCGGTTTCCCAAAGCACTATCTCCCCCTGCCTATAAAATATTACAATTATTTAATCACCTGTTGAATAAAAATAAAATAATAGAATAAATGAAAAATGCACGCACCCTAAAGTTTTCATTCTCTTGTGAATTCTGTGAATCCAGTAGAATTTGTTCCGAGCGTGAGTCGGGTTCTTCTTGTTCACTAAGCACATAAAAATTATATTAAATTACTTCTCTTTTTATTTGCGTTGAATAAAGTCGTCATCAATCTATTTGATACTTGTGAAGTAAACATACCTTGTATACGATTGATTGACAATCGATCCCGTGCGGGAATCTGGCTTCTGTTTTTGGGGTTCGGGTCCGGAACATAACACGTTCTGGCAGAAATTCCATTGATTAAAACATGATTATGACTGAGCCATAAAGAAGCGAAGTTATAATTTCAGCAGACTAATTTTTGTTCTTGTTTTTTTTTATGACCTTTTACGTTAATCCGTGCCTTATCAAATCTGAGCGGTGTTTCAGGACTGATTGTGTTTCTTTAATAATAATAATGTGCCAAATAACCACACTAATTACCTGATCTCCGGCTGAGGAATTCCTGTACTATGCAACGGAGTTCATTTATAAAAGTTCATTCCCATAATCGGTCCTATCGGGAATCGAACCCGGGATGTATTCATCTATCCATCACCGGTGGACTAGAAGTAGACGTAGGTTCCAACCCCCACGTTATGGATATTCCACATTTATATGGCGAACGGCTAAGGAGTGGGATTCCCTAACTGCAACTTTATTCCCTGAACTTAACTTAGGCCGTTTCAAGGAGAAAATGTATAGACATTATTTAGGTGTGCATGCTCCAACGTCGACCTCATCGTTACCTTACCTCGGGTGGCATGGAGGTCAAATGGACAAACTGGTTTCCTAAATAAAACAGACTAAAAACAAAAGTGGCGAAAGTTACCTCCTTATTAAGAAGCGCTTCAAGTTCACGCTGTTTCTCCGCCAGCAAGGCCCGCAATTGCATTTGCCGACGCTCAGCGGGCCCGGGAGCACTTACGCCACTTGGCCCTGGACGTACTTCTTCGTTTACTTTTTTCTGTTTGCGTGCTAGTTCTGAAAAATTATTTAGTTTTAGAACCTCGTTCATTGAAACAAATGCTACAAAATAAATGCTAATTCAGAATATAATAAACAAGTAGTGTACCTCAATACAAACGTAGCAGCGCGGCTTGTATGTGTAAATGTCCGCTACGTATCGTGTACAGACGCACACATACGCATAATCTCGCGGTGTAATCGCGTTGCGTAGCGCGGGTTGTCGAACGCAGACATTCAATACTGAATTGAAGCGTTCGCTTGGTGTTCAAGAAAGACGTCAAATAGTAACGTTTTTATTGTTGTGGTTGTTTGAACGAGGGTGCCTCAAATTCAGATTTTTCCCCCGCAATAGCGAACCCCAGTATCGCAGGTGCCATAGACAAATTCATAAACAATCACAAATTACACCCAAAGTCACTAGAGAAATAAATGTAGGCCCTACAAATATTTATCCCGGCCCGGGAATCGAATCTGGGAACTCTGCGTAGCAGTCCGGCGGCGGTGACCATTCGGCCACGGAGGCAGTCAAATTAGAATTATACAGCATTTCATTTCCATCTCATAATCGAGATGCCAATCCGCAATGCAGGGAGTTTACTGACTCCCAGCGATATGTACGCAATGACGCGCTGAACAGGTGGGAGTTGCACTACTTGTCTTATTATACTTTGCTATTATTCAAGCACTAAGATATTACTTTTGGTTCCTAGCAAGGTGGCTGTAGCATCGACTTTCGAAATAATTTTTCGTCCAAACAATTAAGCAAAACCTGACATTTAAAAATCCGTCAAAATTAATTAAATAGTAAGTTAATTAAATACCAATTTAAATAAATTTAAAGTAAATATCAATGTTATACTATAATAAAGTGACGAAAAACAAAACAGATTTTTAAAAAACGTATGTAACCAAATCTAATGAACTTTTATTTATATTATATATTTACAGATTTCGTTTAGTTAAACCATAGACTTTCACATCCTTTTACATTGGCACAATAATTCGAAAGGAATAGAATATAACTTTGAATTTTATTTATTTCTCTAAATAGATTGATTACAAATATTATACAATGGTAGTTTGTACAAATATAGATATAAACAATGCTCTAATGGGAGACTAACGTTCAAGCCAAGTAAAAACATCTGTGTCAAGGATCACCAGACGTGCACCCCATGGATTGTTTAGTAAAATATTATATAGCACATAAACTTGAATCAATTTAATCAAACACGTGTTTGTGACAAAATATTGAGACATATCCCTTATTTATTTTATACGTTATTTTGTTCTTCGTTCACATTACAGTGGTATCGTATAGTAATGGTATTGTGTGAATTCAGGAAAATGGAGGTAACCTCACCTTTATTGGACACCACATCTTTAATGCGCGCACGTTCTCCCATAATCTTTTCGGTTTCCAGGCGCAGCTCCTGAGCCAACTCTTGTAAAGTTGCTATGTTAGCTTCGTGACCTACGCACACAATTTGTCTTTTCAAATATTTATGTATTTATTTAAACTTTATTGCACACAGAATAGTACAAATGGTGGACTTAAGGCCATTAGGCATTCTCTACCAGTCAACCGGAGAGCTGGGTTCAGAATAATTAACAGGGGTGCATAACATGAGATTATATATGATAATAGATAGGAACAAGTTTATAAATAATAATTATGATATATTGTTTAAACACATTATAAATATAACATATAATATAAGCTTGCTTATATAAGTATATAGTTAGTCATATAACAATATTATATATTACTCATTTATTTTTCAGGCAATACGATTGGAATATATGTATTGAATATGGGGCGGCAGAGTGTTCCAGATTCGTAGTACCTGAAGAATAAACGAGTTACAAACAAACTAGTACGGTGAGAAGGAATGAGAAGTGTCAATTTCCTGTCTGAACGAAGATTGCGATTATAGGATGCACCCAATATTGAAACTTACATTTCAAATATCCAGGTGATCATTAATGACAGAGTAAAGAGTAGAGAGCATTCTCAAACCGGCTCTGACGAATCGTAAGCGACTTCAGCCCATTGCGATATGCGGACACGTGATCAAATTATCGAAGACCGTAAATAAAACGAATGCAACTTTTGTGTGAGCGATCCAATTTGTTGTATGTTCCTGGGTAATATCAGCATAACACACATCAGCATAATCAAGGATAGGGAAAACAGTAGTCTGTACTGAGAGGGTTTTGTTGAGATGGGAAGAAAGTGTTTGAATTGGTAGAACAATCTTAAGGTACATACCAATGATCTTCCGACTAATACAATCAATTTGAGGTTTCCATCTCAAGGTGCTATCAGTGTGTAGTCCCACATTCATAACATGAGGTGCGAATACAATGGGTGTACCATCACAAGAAAGAGGCGCGACAGAGCGCATGCCAACCTAGGCAAAGCACGAGGACTACCCACGACAATACCTAGGCACTTACTTGGGTTGACACTGATGCCAAATTTACTCGACCAATCAGCGATACGTCGCAGATATTCATTAAGCGCTAGTATCACATCATCCAGGCAGTTAATCTTGGCCTGCGCATATATTTGCAGATCATCTGCAAACAGACGGTGAGAATTGTGGAGGATAGGAGAAATGAAATTGATGAAAACTGAGAACAATAAAGGGGAGAGAATACCACTTTGGGGGACACCTGACTCTAGGTCTGACCAATTAGACAAGGAGTCTTTAGCACGAACCGCTTGATGATGAGAGAGACTTGAAAGGAACAGAACTATGGAGATAGATGGCTACACCACCGCCTGTCAGAAGACATTTATTATGTTTATTACGGTAAGGCACATGTAGTTAAATTATGGCATGGCTTAAAACAGCTTTTAGAAACAAGCACCACATGTAAAGAGTCCAAGGAAAAAGTATCGAGCAACTCCGTGTGGTGACTAAGTATGCTCTGAGCATTTATATGGCAAACATTATATGTTGAGTGTGTGCGTGGTTATTATTATTATTAAAATTTGGAGACGCGGTACCAAAGAGTTTGCATATGATTACACTTATCGACGTAGATTATATCAGAACGATCAGAAAAAAAAATTGTCTACATACATTAAGAGAGAAAAAGAATTTCGAATTTCCGATCGCATCTGGCGAAAGCGTGTCCATACCGCGCCTACGATTACAGCAAGACAGACGATGTCTCATACACGGAAAGGTGAATCTTCGGCTGCTTTCGACGGTGGCACCAATCGGAGGTGACGACGGCTGATCAGCAGTATCGCCGGCCGTTGCAGAGAGGGCCGATCGTATTAATGTGACAAGAGTGAGGATACGTGTTCAACTAAATTTCAAGTCAATTAGTGTGGTGACTCCTTAATGGACTGAGAAGTAGTCGGATCGGCTAAATACGCCGAATGGCAATCTAACTTACTCTGTTGTTGCTGCTGCTGTTGCTGCTGCAGCGAGTGTTGTTCGTTGGTGAACTTGTGTCGCTGAGGCAGAGTATTGCGCACACGGCACACGCTGCCTTCGTTAGACCAGCCGCCCATACTACCGCCGCCCTCCGATTTACTATTTCAATGCAGTAACCGCATAAATTATTTTTATAAAAATTTTCATGGCACCCTTAAACACATCTTTGGAGAATTAATTTTCAAAAGCTTTCTCTGCAGTCAAGTAGTTACACAATTCGCCGTTAGGCAAAATTTTACCGCAATCAATAAAGAGCGATAAAAACAATGACAAATGACGAGTGTTTAAATGTCTTACTTGTCGTTTATGTTCGAATGGCTTGGCACTTGAAATGTTTCGTCATGGGCGCTGAGGTGATCTGCTTCGTAGTTCTCCACTGAACGCATTAAATCTACAAATAAATAAGGTAGGCTTCACAAACAAAAACAACAGTATAAAAACGTTTAAATTGAATTCCGGATCGAACAATTATTACCAAAGTAAAACTAATGTTTACGTAACAACTTGTCAGATAACCACACTAATTACTGTCTCAAACTAGGGAACTTCCTGTACTATGAGTACCAAAGCAACGGAAAACACTCCAGAGCACTACTCGGGACACTCAGACCAGACATTTATTTCCCAAATTGGTCCTATCGGGAATCGAACCCGGGACCTCCGCATCCAGCTCCCACAGCTCCAACGTTGGGCCATTGAGGTCGTCAATAATAGGATTACAGCGCATGGGAATGCAGACAACAGACAATGCATGACTCTTGGCGTGAATAATATTTAAATGCGCATTTAAGTTTATGTGTACAATTTATTCTATATACCAAATTTCATGTACGTAGAATATAACAAGTGAAAGTAACATACCTTTATATCGAGTTCTTAGGTTTTCGCGATTATTACACATAGGAAATGAAACTATTTTTCCGGATTTAAATCGCGTATATTTGTTTTTTCAAATACAACTATAGTGAAAAAATAGGGTGGTTTGCATTAATATTAGACATAACTGCTTGAAGACTGCACCACCTCAGTCAACCGTGACCATGGCACCTGTAAAGGGCCCGAAACGTCGGTTTGTTTGAAAAAAAAAAACAGATATACACGATTTAAATCCGGAAAAATAGTTTCATTTCCCAACATACCTTTAGTTTTCTGAAGTGCCGTCTTAATAGCTTTAATTTCCATTAACTTAAAGGGATCTTCGTTCTTAATATTCCCGCCTCCGGCGTTGTTACATTTACGCGTCGACTCCTCGGCGCCACTGTCTTCGCCCGAACTCGAGTACGTATTGCGTGAGCTGCCAGCACGGGTTGCCATTTGAAGTTTTTGAAACTCTG